AAGTAGAGCTGGCAAGAATACCACTTTCACTCTTAAAACAAGAAGAAAGTTGGACAGAATAGAAATGATGTGGAAGCCGCTGGGTGACCCTAACCAGGCATCTGGAGTGTCCACTGCAGGGACCTCATAGTTGCAGGGTCAGTGCACCCCAGCACTGACCTTGTCACCCTCTATCTCAAACATGAACTCACTGACCAGTGCTCCCCACACAGCTGGGTGCTACTTCAGACCAAAGAGCAGGACTTGATGACTTGTGCTTTGCCAGCAAGATGCCTGCTCAGCAGATCCCCAGGGGAGGGGAGACAGGAGTGAGAGGTGCATGTAAGACCCAGCCCGCAGAGTGTGCCAGGGGCTCAGACCCAGCACCCCATCGCAAGGCCGTGTAGCAGGGACGGCCTCACTGTCACGACCCATCACCGCGGGACACCAGCTTCAGGGCCCACCCACGGGAGCTACAGAGGACTGCTGCACTTCAAGCCCCAGGCACTGCTTCCTTTGAGTTCCCACCGTACAAGCTCAGACCTCAAACTCCAGAGCGTGCGGAAGGGCTGGGCGTGGAGGGGTGAAAAGAGCCCATTAAGAGCAGGGAAGTCATTCAATTCCATTCACTGGAAAACAGCATGTCACAAACAGCACGTCACTCTTGCTCAGAAGCTGCAACACAGTCTCAGCCTGGATGGATCTTGTGTCCAGCTCGCTCCACCCACTGGTGTCCAGGCCCTTGGGCAGCCGCCTAAGCACTGCCCACTCACCAGCTCGAGCAAAGGCTTCCCTGAGACCTAGGGGACACGCTCCGTTGGCCTCTGTGTGGGGTGGCCTGGAGCTAACAGGCTGACGGTGCTCAGCAGAAACACCTGTTTCCAGTGCTGAGAGCAGCGGCTTCTGAGCAGCCTGATCCTGGAATCACAGGTATCCAGAGTGGAGTCCACCCTCTGCCGACACACTGTGTCCTCCCACTCTCCTCAATACTAACACTGACGAACAATCTGTGGGGTTTTATCTCACACACTTAATTCACATGCTTGATTTCATACACTTGCTTGCACACACCCTGATGAGCCATCTGCTAGACTGTGAACTCTAAGCCCAGCAGTGCTGTCTGTTCATCTCAGTCTCCACTACAGGCTGAGGCACAAGAACACTGAGCACAGGGTCAGCTTACAAAGTCTCCGGAAGTAAGTCGCCCTTTAAGCATGAGCTGGCCCAGGAAGCATTCATAACACTTTTCTCTTTACTCAGAAAGCATATCCTCAGTTCTGCAAGCTTGCTGAATAAGCTCCCAAAAGGCCAACTGTCTATATAACAACTATAAGCCCTTAAACTCTGAAAAAAAATACAAAAACCAATTATTTGAGGCCTCTGAAGAATGACCAATAAAAAGATGATTCTGGAAGGGTATCAAGACTTGGAAGAAGAGAATATCTGGGCGAGCTGACTGATTTTACAGCTTTTAGCTTAAGAAGCAATGTTTGAGGCAACCACAAGGCTGAAATGTGGGAAAGAATACTAGAAAAGACACGAATTAGAGTTGGGGAGCCTCAACATTTAATGTACAAAATATGTTAAAATCTCCGGCTGATCCCCAAATCATGTATGCCAGAAATAAATGCAAAAGTCAAACTGAAGGAAGAACTCAAACTCAAAAGACAAATCTGCAGTCTGAATCCAAAAGTATCAACCTTCCTCAAAGAAATATAACAGAACCCAGAGTTTCACAATGCCCAGTATGCAACCCAAATTACTCACTCTACAAAACTGGAATGATAAGATTACCAAGATAAAAGACTATCAATTCATCAAATCTAATATGACTAAGATTTCACAATTAAAGCTTTTAAAGGAACTACACAACTTGTGCTAGACAACATAAAGTAACACTTGAAATGAAAACACAAACCAGAAAATCCAGGCAGGTGAGAAAAAAGTTTCAGACATACATATTTATATATAAGTGAAATATAAAATCCAAGCCAGGTATTTACAATGACTGCTACAAAAATTTATCTGATGGGAATGACAAAAAAAAAAATAAGAAATGACATAGGACAGAATCGGTGAGCTTAAAATACAGCAGCAGAAATTATCCCATCTGAAGAACAGGAGAAAGAAAAAACTAATAAGAAAGTGAACAAAACCACAGGAACCATTTGAGAATGTCAAAAGGTCAAACACACGTGGAATTGGAGTCTCAAAAGATGGTAAGAGAAAAGGTCAAGAAATATTTCAAGGAGCAATAGCAGAAATATTATAATGAAATGAAAATATCCCCAGAGAAACACAAAATGAAGTTTCACGGACGCTGAAACAGAAAATGACTAGGATCATGTGATCAAAGACATGTCCTCATGGACAGACTCCAGGTCTGGGAAGCTGGCTTCATCTGAGTCACTGCATATTTAAGAACAACCAACCACAGATGGACTCACATTCTCTGAGAAAGAAGGAAGGCACACGTCCACAGCGCGCTTCACGAAGGCAGACTTACTACCTAAATCTGGCGAAGGTACTATAAAAATAATTGCAGGCCATTATCACACATGGAGATACAGTATAAAAAGGGTAAAAAGTTACTGCCAAGTAGGGTTTAACCCAGGAATGCATGGTGGGTGTCACTTAGACAAGTTAATTAATAAAATCTACTCTAAGTATAAACAGGTACCACCCTGCGATCGTTGCAAAAGATGCAGAAGAGGCATTCAACAAAATTCCCCCATTCAGTATCAAATGTCCCAGCAAAAGTGAAAGAGAAGAGAACCTTCCCTGCTGAATAAAGTACATCTACAAAGGCACCTGCAGCTGTTATCATTTTAACAGTCAAATCTCCACACTGACGGGCAACAGAATAAGAACTCCTGATCTTACTATTGTATTCCAGCTACACGAGAGCACCTACCCGATACAACAAGGCAAACTGAGTAATAAAATAACATGCAGGTAGCCAGGAAGTAGATAAGATCTTAGGGAATCTACAAATGAAGTACCTGAACTAACAAGTTAATTTAGCGATGTACCCAAAACAAGGTTAGTATGCAAAATTTTACAAGCAAAAATTGTAAAATGTCTTTAAAATTCAATTTATAGTAGTGTCAAAAATCGTAAAATATTGGAACGATTTTAACAAAAGACAAAACCTTTACCCTGAAATCCAGGCTGTAGGTAACTGGACAGACACACGCTGCGCGCCCAGGGGGAGAGGCCTGCGCCAGCGCCCCCTGCACCAAGCGAAGCAGTCAAGGCTGTTGCCACCAGAATCCAGCAGAGCCTTTGGGAGCACGCAGAACGTACTTCTTAAACTTACACGGAATTGGAAAAAGACGTCACAATTGAAGGGCCTAATTACCGAGCTTTATGTCTCACTGTGAAAAGCTACAGCAAAGACCAGCATAAGGATCCACAAGTGGTCAGTGGAGGAGGGAGAGAAAGTGCAAAACACACCCTCGCGGCCACGGCCATGGAGGCTCACCAGACACACCCTCCACCATCGGGGAGAAGCATCCTTCAAGGAACAGTGCTGGAAAAACTGGATATCCGTGTAGGGGGGAAAAAAGAGAATTTTGACCTTCTGTCTCAAACCAGACACAAGAGTGAACTGGCTATGTATCAGAGCTACCGGTAAACCTTTCAGAGGCTGTGCAGGAAATTAGCTGCTAATTGATAAAGAACTCAATGCTTTCTTCAAGTTGGCAAAGATTTATTTGTTGACAGAAAGCAATAATCATAAAGGCAAAAATCCTGGTATCTAGATATCATCAAAAAAAATTCTGCTTATTATAAGACTATTATGAAAAGTATAAACAATCCACCAACTGGGCCAAAAATTCAGAAAACATGTCTCACAAAAGATCCACATCCAGCACGTATGAGAATTCCTACAGCTCAATCCTAAGAAGGCACGTCCCTGCATCGCCCATTGAGACCCAGGCAAAAGATCTAAAAAGACGCGTCACAACAGAAGGAGATCAGAGCCAGCAAGTACAAAGTCAGGAAGCCACTGAGCACCGGGGAAACCACAGCCGAAAGCATCAGCACGCACTTGGCAAGGAGACATGCAGGGGCCGGACGACCCCCCGGGGCACAGGGTCCACACCCGCCTGGCTGTGCCCCTGGAAACGTCTCCTGGCAGACGGAACGCACGGCCGGACATTGAAAGGGATTTATTTATCTAAGAAATGCAAACAAGTGGTCGCAAAAGAAGCTGTCCGAAGACGTCACAGCAATTTAATTTGTAGGGAGTCAAAACCAAGCCCCCCCGCTGGGCGAATGGACACTGCCAGGCCAGCTCTCAGGAGGCGCGGGGTGGGGGGGGGGGGCGGACACCCTGCGGGGCAGCCCCCTCGGGAGGAGAAGGGGGGCGGGAAAGGCGGGTCAGCCGCCCGGGAGGTGACCGGGACCCTGAATCCGAGCTTTGAAACCCCGACAGTGACTGCTCAGTGGCGCAAAATAGCACTGGCCGTGAGGGATAAAAGCGATTTTTCTACACTAGATAATACATTTTTTTTAATATTTATTTATTTATGCATACAAGAACTGGGGTACAGGCCACAGGTGTGGGGGATGAGAGGATTCACCAGAGACAGAGTGGGGAGCAGAACAGGCAGACTGATGAAACACACTGCTGAGGGGAGCAGCGGGCGAGACAGGAGAGGTCTGACGCACCATGTGGGTAGCTCCCTGGCTGGGGATCGAACTCGTGCTGCAGAGGCTGCGGATAGCTTCAAAAGTAGTGTCTTAACCCCTTGCGCCACCAGGGAGGCCCCTAGATAATATTTTGAACATTAATGTTTTAGCTGGGATAATCCCACTTCATCCTTAATCCAATGTCGTTGAGCAAACGAAGGCACAAAGGTGGGAAGAAGTGAAACCTGGTGTCCCGGCCGCGCGGGCGCGGGCTGTGTCACCTGGGCGGCTGTGAGGGGCGGGCGGGGGCCTCGCTGGGGGAACCAGCCCTAAGAAACACCCCCCACGCGGGACCCGCGCAGGGAGGCCAGGCCTGCTCTTACCTTCGGGAACTGCTTCACGGGGATTAGCACTTTCTGCCCCAGCTTCATGTTCTTATTGATCACCACATCGATGTACTTTTCTTCATCCTTGCTTTCTCCTTTTTGAAACTTTTCTATTTCTGTGGAGGAAAAAAAATAATCATGAAGTGCACGGCTTCCATCTCTAGTGGCTGTGAGTTCTAGTTAGCGCTCCGGTGACAGAAAGCCGAACACAGAAACACGGACTGGTAAGTGACCACCGCTCATTCCTCACCCGCACAGCAGAAGCCAGTCCCAGGTCTGCAAGTCAAATCTCAACTGCCAGTGCAGGGGGCACAAGGGACACCCCAGCCAACAGCACCTCAGGGCTTCTGGGATCCTAGAAAAGCCTTCTCCAACAGCAGAAGCCAAGAGGATCCTAGGCTCGGTGCGACAAGTGATCCTTCCAGGCCAGCGTGGATCGGAAGTCCTAGCCAGCCTGCGCCAGTGCCCGCCGTGCCAGGAGGGCCCTCACCTGAGCCCGGCACTCTGCAGACGTGTCCGCCCTGGACTGAGAGATCAACAACTGTGAGAAACCCGTTTCTGCTCTTCCAGTCACAGCCCGCGGCACTCTGCTGTCACACCGCACAGAGCCAAGACACTCTCCCAACAGGACACAGATGTCTCACAGGCAAAATCTGTCTCTGCGTTCGACAGACCTCTCCTAACCACCTCTTATGTTAAATGAGAGATCCTGAAAAGCATCAGCACGCTGTGCAGACACCGCGCAGGAGGCGGCCAGGAACGTGACCAGCGCGTGGACATGGCCGCAGGGGCGAGGCGCAGAGGCCCGCGCACGGGGAGGGCGCGCTGGCACAGCGCACAAGGGCGCACAGGTCCACTCACTCGGCTTGCAGAGCCAGGGCTGTTTAAGAATTGAATGTGTCACCTGCAGGACACACTCCAGTCCTTGGAAAGGATGACAAGAGGGAAATTCAGAAAGTTTAAGTCACTAATAAACGGCCAGGAACCCCCTGATGCGGGGTCTGGAGCTCCAGGCAGCTGCCAGGGAGTCTCGTCCCCTGTCTTCATGTCCGGTCAGACAGAAGGTGACCTAGCCGGCCTTTAGGGATGACAGCAGGAAGTGTGGGAAGCTGGAGGGGCAGGCCAGGCTCAGCCACCACTGCAGAGCCCAGGGGCCTGCCCTGTGATACCCCGCCCACTGGCCCTCACCTAGACTCTTAGCTCTGAACCCCGACTATCCCTGCTGTGTTCAGTGGGGCGCCCTCCCGTCAATGGGCCTCACACCTGCCAGGGCAGTGCTGTACGCAGTGGGCCTCGCCAGGTGAACAAGAGGGATACAGCACAGAGTCAGCCCAGGTTTGTCTTCGCCCTCAGTTTCCCGCAGAGCTCCTAACACCCCAAGGTTCCTGAGAGAGCAGTGCTTTACCTTGTTCCCAACCAACAGGCCCTTTCATCTGTCCCTGAGCACATGCTAATGAGGCTACTCTCCCAGGCAGCTGGTTGCCAGAGGAAGCAGCCAGGTGATGAGCATGGAGACGGGGTACCCCAGGCCGGCCTACCTCTGGGAAGAGGGGAGAACCTAGAAATTGAATTTGGCCATCCACGGTCAACCAAGCGTACCCATGCAATGAAAGCCACGTGAACCCCTCACCAAGGGCATCAGGGGAGCTTCTGGGCTAGTGAGCATGTGGGGAGCTGCAGGGTGGGGCCCTGGAGGCAGAAGCTCCAGGCCCCACACCTGCCCACGGCATGTCTCCACCCGGGTCCTGACTTATAGGCTTCATGATAAGCCACGACAGCAAGGGAAGGGCTCTCCAAGTTCCGTCAGCCACGTAGCAAGTTATGGGGCCAAAGGGGTGAACCCCCAAATTTGCAGTTGGCAGGCTGAAATGTGGGTAGACCAGGCACCCCATTTACAGTGACGGCTGAACCGGGCAGCCTTACTCTGAGGGGGCTGCACTCACTCACTCGAAGGGTTCGTGCCTTGGGGGACACCCAGCAGGGGCCGGGTGGGAACGGGCAGTGCGGGCTGGCGGGGAGGCAAGGCAAGGATTCGGCGCGAGAGGAGCAGCAAACCACTCCGCAGCCCCTGGTCTAAGCCTCTAAGAATGAAGACGAATATTCAATCGCCAAATGAACGACTTCATCTGCTTTCTAGTACCACCCTTTGCTTCAATCCTATGAAATTGAGTCTAAGCAGAATCTGTACGGAAAAGTACACAGTAACATAGAAGCATGGGAGATGCAGTGATTTATGGAGTTCTGGTGATGGCTGAAAACCTGTCAAGTGCACTTCTGATTTTGATTTTTCAATAAAAATAATCTTATTTTTACACACTCGGTAAAAATTTGAAACGTTGTAATGGGATAGAAAGTTAAAAGGAAAGGCTCCTCCTACCGCCCATACCTGAGAAGTAATAATGATCAAACACCACACGCACCTCCTCCCTCAGGAGTCCCGTGAACGGACAAGCACTCGCGCACACACGCGCACACACGCGCACACACGCGCACACACGCGCACACACGCGCAGCCCGCAGGAGACGGGGCTTGGAAACGGCGGGACTAATGGACTAAATGAGCTAAATTAGTTTTGTTTTCCTCAGTAAAGAGCAATAAGTCACATGTCATCTGCTCCAGCAAGTCTAACAATTCATGATTTCAGCTTTAATGAGAAGAAAGGAGCCCCGTGTTTTATTTTTATTCATCTATTTACGCTAAGATCGGTAGACTCGTCGCATAGAGAGGACAGTCAACAAAATCAGGAACGCTGAAACTTATTAGAAAAAAAATTTAGTGTGTATCTATTTTTTCAAAAGAGATTTAACTCCCTATTTGCAAATAACAAAGTATTTTTATAATTTTGGGGGATATGTAAATTGCACAATATTCACTCCACAAACAGAATTCCAAATGCTATTCCCCGTATCGCTGACATTTAATATTCAAAGTAATATGTAAAGCCATTAAGGTAAGATTAAAAATTAGAAAACTACCTACTCTATCACACATTATGTTTAAAGTTGAAGACATGCCTATGATCTTAAAGAGGAGAAAAAAACTATCTAAGATACCAATTTCCTAGGTAGATAACCTCCCAACTTTATAAATCTGAAGTTGCTAAAACACTTGCTGTTCCCTTGAGTAAGCTTTGAATTATGTTGAAATAAAAAACTTCATTGTTTCAAATTCACTAAAGACCTTACAGTCTGAGGCCACAGCAAACTCACGTAGAGTTTCAGGTGCAAAATCCAGCCCCAGGGAGAGCAGCGGGGAGCGCCCCGCCTGTCCCTGGGGCCCAGGGGCCCAGCTCTCCAGCAGACCTTTTGTCCTCCAGCCGTAAAATTCGAAACTAGACAAAAATTCCATTTATTAAGAGCTTCGGATCAACAATTTTGTATTTTCTACTTGACTGAAGACTATAAATAGTGTGAGGCTTTCAAGCCCAATTAAAAAACAATGGTAAAAAGGTGGGGAGCTGCACAAGGTGATCTCTGAAGCCTCCAGAAAGCTGCCCGGGCGTCATGTCTGTCCACACTGAGAGTTCGTATTCCAAGTCCGCGACCCGCCTCTCAGGCCCTCCCTGGGGCCCTGGACACCCACCTCGGTGGGCATCGTCTTGCGGTTCTTGTGGCAAAGGAAGGTCAGTCACGGGGAAAGCCCAATCAGAGTCACAAGGTTGAAGGCACAAGAGATTTGACTCCCACTAATCCCCAGATTGCATTCATTACCACACAATTTAATGGATCGATGTCATCTCCCAGCTCAGAACTAATAAGGAAATGTGTGATGAGGTTTTAGATAATCTAGAGGATTAAAACACTGGGTTTTCCAACCACGGACACCACATTTCTGTCAGCTCAGAAATCCACCTTCTGTTAAAATGCCTTGTTTTGGTCTCTGTTTATTTCCCATGGGTTCTGCCCTGGCCCAGCACAAGCTTCTGGAACAAAGGTCATGTCCCTTTTTCATCTCCCAAATTTACTAAAATCCACGCATCCTCTGAAAAAAAATCAACTAAGTTTTTGAGTTAAATGAACTAAATTTCCTATATAAAAAAACTTAGTAGTATATATTTTCATCAAGACTTCAAATTCTCTCACTGAATCAAGCAATCTAAATGAGTATTTTTTCCTTTGTCCCAGAAACTTCACTTGCACAAATTTACCCACAGGGAGATACACTCGGGTCAGTGCCAAGTATGATGCACACCTCATCTCTACTAACAAACCACTGGAAATCACCCAAATGTCAGTCAACCCAACATGGTTACACAAACTGGGGCAAACCCCCAAAATGAAGATTAGCTATTTTACACCATCTTATATGAAAGGTTTCCATCAAGGACAACTTCAGGTCACACTTACACAGGGCACGACCTTCTGTGAAGAGGAAACGTTCCTATTTGTACAAGCCCGGCAGTAAGTGGGGAACCACTTTCAGATGAGAAGCGGGGAGCAGTGGTGACCCCGCTGGCCTGGGGGTGCAGGGGAGAGGGCACGGGACGAGGAGTCATCATTTTGTCTCCTTTTCACATTGTTGTGAATTTTTGGGCCATGGGACTATTTCACCCATTTTAAATTTACACTAAAGTAAAATTTTAAATGGTTTGGTTAGATTCTTTTTTTAATTCTGAAATAGAATAAAATCAGAATTGACACAGAGATGGCCATGCTTCTATTTTGCAGCCAGCGCACCTCTCTCCCCCAAACGCCACGCTTTCATATTTAGTTCTTCAGGAAAGTAATATTTCACTGAAAACTGATGGCGAAGTCACCTGCATGGCTTTCTCGCCTTAAGCAACAGGTGTGTTTTTGAGAATTACACGTGAAACACTTTATCTAGAACCCAGTAGTGTTTGTAACGTGTTGGGCTTCCCTTTGGGTGGGGGAGGGACTGGCCTTTGGAAAAATGTTGATCGAGTTTTGATGCCTTGAAGAAGACTGATTCTCTGGGGTGACGATGAGCTGATGTAACACAAGGCAGGTACAGTGTGCTGCAGAAGGAGCGGGCAGCTCTGGAATTTGGAAAATCCTTAAAAGAGCAAGCAAGTAAGTGCTAACTTCTTAAAGGATCATGATTGGAACTTGCAAAGCAGAGAAAAGAGGGCGCCCAGCGAGGCGAGGGAGCCCCAGG